TTATTTATTTATTTATTTATTTATTTATTTATTTATTTATGTATGTGATTTATATCCCGCCCATCTGGTATATGTGTGGTTGAATTCTGAATTATTTCTTACTGTCCAAGAAACCTCATGCCTTTATACCATGTTTCTCCGAAAATAAGGCAAGGTCTTATATTGATTTTTGCTCCAAAATATGTTTCTCCGAAAATAAGACAAGGTCTTATATTAATTTTTGCTCCAAAAATGTATTAGGGCTTATTTTCAGGGGATGTTTATTTTACAGTCATGTCATCTTCTGATTGCTGCACAATGCAGCACAATGGTGGAGGGCAGGGTTTCACTTAACTGGGGCTTATTTTTGGGGTAGGGCTTATATTACAAGCATCCTGAAAAATCATACTAGGGCTTATTTTCAGGTTAGGTCTTATTTTTGGGAAAACAGGGTAAGTAGCCAAATGAGGTAGATCAATATATCTGTGCAATTTTGATTTATTTATCTACTATGGTGTGTGCGTGCGTGTGCGTGTGTGTGCATTGTCCTCTGGGTACTTTCAGTAGAAGAGCAGGATAGAAATCAATTTCCCTTCCTTTCTGATTTATCGTTCCACGTAGTGACTTTAGTTCTAGAGCATACTCACTGTAGAGAAGCAGTATGATCATCAGCATTTCCCGGACAAGAGGTTATTGAGAAAACCATGTAATCTGTTCTGAGATTTCTAAAGAACATTATGCTACATGTGCATGATGAATCAAAATATTTATTAATAGTTGCTGAAAAGACAGTGCAAAATAATATCTGGCTCACTTGTCCCTCCATTCAGTGTGGGTAAGCATGAATGTTGTAGCAGAAACTGTGGGGTTTGGAATATCTGATTCTGGCAGGATACACAGCATGTATGAATGTGCAAGTCAACTCAGCCAAACTGTGGAAAGAAAAAGGAAGATGTGGCAGCAAAGAACAGCCTTTCATGCAAATGTATAGAATGCCATTCCTCGCCTTCCAAACAGCTCCAGTACATCCAAAGCAGGATTGAGCCAGAGCCAAAGTGTCAGTGTGGCATTGCAATAGCAGCACTGGAACCCAGAAATGATGTTCAGAAGGAGCAAAACCATAGCTTCACAGCAGTAGAGCCCATTAGAAACGAAGTGGTCCCACTGGGGCATTTTATTTGCACACTCCAGTAGAGTGGACGCCAAAGGCTTTGCTAATGCTTCATGGGCTGCTAATTTCCTCTCTGACCCCTTTTGTTGAGGTGTGACCCCAGCCAGAATCCCTCTGCAATGAATGCCAAAGCCTGACACAGGTCTGGGTTAGGGGGTGACAAAGAGGCCTCTGTGGGCTTTAATCAGGCTCCAGTTTGCAGTTTAAGGATGGGGGGGGTAGGGGCTCTCTAAAGATCTGGGTGGCACAATAAGGGAGGCCTCGGGGTCTCCCATGGAGGCAGCTGAGCTGTGGCAGCCTGCAGAAGACGGCTTAAAGAATTTGTCAGGCGGAGAAGAGAGGGGAGGGGAAAGGAGAGGTGGATGGCTTCTTTTGTGAGACACTTTAGAAATGGAAGGTTTTTCAGTGAGTGCCCCCATTAGATGACCCAATCAGGTCCTGGCAGATGAATATCACAGGCATGCTGTTTATTCACAGCAGCCTGCAGCGTCCACTCTTTTCCCCTTCCCCTTCTCCTCCCCCTGCTCTTACCTCCCCCCCCTTCCTTCTTTCCCAAAGCCTTTCATTCGTTTTAAGACTAATTTGTTTTTATTAATGCCTTTTCTTTTCTGTTCTACCTCATCTCCCCCCAAGACTGTGATTCCTACTGCAAGGCATCCAAAGGAAAGCTGAAGATCAACATGAGGAAGTATTGCAAGAAAGACTACGGTGAGCTACCTATCCTCTCCCTCAGGTCACCCCGGGGGATGTGTGTGCCAGTCTGCATACCTGTGACAAATGGTTTTAAAATTGTGTTTCTCTTCTAAAACGCAAACAGTAGCAGCCAGAGGCATGATGAGCAAACAATGAGGGGTTTTATTTCCTCTGGAAACAAGCGGGTTCAAATGCCCACTAAGGCTAAGCCACATAAATCACTGAGGGTCCACAAACATGTGGCTATCTCTCCATCTAGCATATTTGCAATATGAAAATAAGTAGCGGCTAAAGTTTCAGGTGAAATGTTTTATATGAGAAAGTGTGCATGTGTGCGTTCTGGAGAGAGAACCAAATGAACAACCCTGCTACAATTAAAGAGTTCTTTGTTGGCAAGGAAATGAAAGGCTATCGATTCCTGCTCAAGGGACTGCCTAGGAAGGAGCAGCAACATAAGGCAGGACAGGCAAACACTAAAGAAAGTGATTTCAGGTGCTCACAGTCAATAACTTTGCCAGCCAGGTAACCAGAATTCATTGGCTCTGTGATGCCATTTAGCCTCACTACATGATCTCTGATTGTTTTTGTTACTCAGGAGGAGAGGGGTGGGGGTGATGTCACTGATTCTGTGAAACAGCTGCAAGCCACCACAAAAAAATTGGATGATGAAATTGTTTATGGGAGGTTTGATAGCAAGTCAGCACTTACAACCCAGAAATGTTGAAATGCACATTAGACATTCAACTAATTATATTTCATCAGTAAGGTGAGGATAAAAATGTGGTAAAGATACATAGTATAACTTATTAATACTTTTGGAATAGTGCAGTAGAAACAAACATGCTGTTTTTATCCCCTTCCCCGCACCCCGTTCCAGCCATTAGAGCACTCTGTTCTTCTTTGCTTCCTTTGAAGCCACAGCATCAAAATAGATGAGACATCAGCTCTCATTTGGAAACTGATAACCTGTCATTCCTTCACAATGTGATTGCTTCAGATGTAGAAGTCCAGTCAATATAACTTGCAGATTATGTCCATATTTACTTTCCAGTAACCACTCGTTCAAGACAGCTTGCTCTAATGTAAGATTACAGTGCTGACTGAAAGCATGTCGGACACATTTGACCAGTACGGGAAGCCACTTAAAAAAATTATCAACTAATTTGATCCATGGAGTTGGCTGCAAATGAGAAATCTAAGGAGTCTGCAGTTAGGTGAAATACCCATTTATGAGGCAATATGCATAAAGTCACAGAATTAGAATTGCATAATAATTAATGGAGACCTCACTCCCTGCAGACTGAGTGGCTGCTCAACATTTTCTTCCAAAGTCCAAAGGAAGGACATGTCTGCAACTTTCTAAGGTAGCACCACCTTATATCGATTTACTACTTTATTATTTAAAAAGTCTGCTGAAGTGTCTTTCCATGTTATATATGATAAACAGACATTTGTTATTTATGTGTTCTTCCTCATCACCTATGTGAGCCTCAGTTAATTAGGGAGCATTAATAGCCAAGACCTAATTTTTTAATATGGGAAAATATTTTACTTCCTATAAAATATATGTTCATTTCTACTTAGGCTTCCATTTTGAGATAATATTGCACTATTATTGAGCATCTATTAGTGATCATCTCTTTCTCTATATTCCTAAACTTGCAATATTTTATTTTTGGTTTGAACTGGCCATTAAGAATAATAGTCAGTGGATGTGTGTCCACTATCCAGTCCTGCTGCATGTACAATCAGATATTGTTTAAAAACATTACTAACAAAGTATGTGCACTCTTTCTTATACTGAAAAAAGATGGGGGTGGGGAGGGACAGAAAGATTGAATGAATTGAGTTTAAATGCTTAAAATACTTTTAAACTTTGATGGAGGCCTTCATTCATTATGCTTCTGGATGCCATCCATATATTCATCATCATTTTATTTTGGCCTCAGTGATCTTAAGCATCATGGGAACCTCATATGCCACTAATGTTTTGAATCCAGACTTTGTCATATTTAGAATAGACCCACCAAAATCAATGGGCCTACAGTTAATAAATCATTAAGTACCAGTGATTTCAAAGGCATACTCCAAGTCAGTCTGTTTCCAACCCATTTTGCTGCACTGATTTTGTAACCATTTCCCAACAGGAGATGGTGGGCCAAACAATTATCTATAACCTATTAAAGCTGCAATCAGTTAGTGTTCAAAAAGTGTCTGAGAAGTCAGATTTACAAGAAAGAACATACTTGCAGCCTGCAGACTAACCACAAAACAAAGCAAGTTAATTTGTAAATTACATGAGGTGAGGAATGCTTCTGATACGACAATCATACCAAGTGACATACGGAGCAGTGAAAGGAGTAGTTAGACTACAGATATTTTCTGTATAAATTGGTAAGACTTCCCTTGGGATTGGGTCATGAGCTATGAGACTCATGCCATGGCAAATGCAGAGAGGCCTTGATGGCAGATGAAAGTACCTACCACATTGGAGGATGGAACAGGCAGATGAACCTTTGATGCTGTCACTAATATTATTAATACTGTTGCCTGAATTGATATGGAGACAATATAGGCATTTGGTTGTTTTGTTTCTGTGTCTGTGTCTCTTATGACATAGGTATGATTCTATAAATAGCTGTTTTAGGGTGGGGCCTAAAAAAGGGCAGGTCAGCTTTTCAAGACCTCTGGGAGAGAAGATTCTTAGATGAACTGTAGTTCATTGATGGTACTTGCAGTGATTTTTACCTGTAGATGACAAGCTACAGCTTGGTCTTTTTTTTTTTTTTTTNTTTTTTTTTTTTTTTTTTTTTTTTTTGATTCTGGCCTTCAGTAGATCATTCTTATGTACCAGTTTGACTTTCTAGGTCTTTTTCACAGCTGGATGTTCTTGTCTAAAAAATGACTTGCATAAATCCTTAAGTAGTGAGTCTCCAATGAATGAGAACAGACATGATTCTATCATAAACTTTAGTCATAGACAGTGGATCTTGTAATGTATTCTCAATGGGCATCATAAGCTTATCAGTGGGGTTTCAACATAAGGAACTCATTGTGTATCTACAGAGGAATGCCCAGAAGGTGTCATAAGACTGAGTGGTAGCCATTTAAGTCTGTGAGGGCAAAACAGGAGATTTTAATACATGCCTACGGATCAAAAAACTTAAGAGTCGTGCAACAAGTTTATAGATTCCATTGAGCCAGTTGCTTTTCTCTCAAAACAGAAGACATACCATCATAACTGAGTAGATTACTTTGATTCTCACTGGATGCAGCTTCTCTTATTTACTGGAAATACAGTGGTGTCTCGACTTACGAACTTAATTGGGTCTGGAATGATGGTCGCAACTTGAAATGGTTGTAAGTTGAAGCACCATTTTCCATAGGAATGCACTGAAATGCAATTAATCTGTTCCGGCTGAAGAAAAAAAAATCACACACAAAAAAAAAGAAACACAAAAAACCACTACAAGACCCATCGGAAATGCAATTAATCCATTCTGGCTGAAGAGGGAAAAAAACAGAAAAGCAAACAAACCCTGCAAGACCCACCGGAAATGTGATTGATCCGTTCCCGGCCGAAGGGGAAAAAAAAACACCGAAAAGCAAACAAAACCCTGCAAGACCCATCACAGCATAGAAACAGAATTCCACCACCCAGCCCAAACCCACACTACAAAACTCACCCAGAATAGCCAGTTTTTAAAGTAGAAAGCAGCACCTTACCAGGCAGTCCGAAGTTGCCTCCAAACACACACTCTCCAACTGCTGGGGCAAAAGAGCTACAAAGAAGCAACCTCTTCACCACCAACGGTTAGCAATTTGAATTCCCCACCTTTTTCCTGGTTGTAACTTGAAGCTCTGGTCACAAGTCGAAGCGAAATTTTGCAGCCGGAGCTAGTTGTAACTTGAAATAGTTGTAAGTCGAGGCACCACTGTACAAGAGGATTCCATCACCTGAGGCAGCCTATTGTACCATTCTATGTATCTGTGAAATCTTATTTTTTACAGTCATTATTATTAATACAATTCATGCATCTGCAGCTGCTTGTAGTCAAATGTGTGAAATACCAAATTCTGGCCTTTGCCAATATTTGTTTTTCAGTGTATTAGGAATGTCACCCAGATTTCATGGAGCTTTTCATTCTTGACTCTTGATCCACTGGTGGGAAAGATAATCCCCTCCTCAGTCTCCCCAATACAAGAAAAAGGAGACAAAGGAGCCTGTTGAATTTATATCTGAGCAGAGTACACCTGAATGTAGCATTCAACTTGTTATGTCAGTCAGTCGTGTACACAGCAAAATCTATGGAGCAGGATAAGATCAACTAAAACTGATGGCTGGAGGCATCTGAATCTTCCCACCTCTAATTTCCTTCCTGAATCAGAGTTTCTAGGAGCCACAGAAGATTCCACTCATTTGAAACTTAAAGCACATCCTGACAGTGTATGCAAACAGCAAACAGATTTCTAAATTACTCCCCTTAGCAACATTATCTTCATACAAGGGAATTCTTGAACGTAATTGAAACCATTCCGAGGATGTGTTGATTTTGTTCTGTATTTAGACAGCTTATTTCAAATTCATGGGAGCAAAACGGCATCCAAGAACAGGCAAACAACAAAAAGACCCTCCTCTGGTATACATGGAAAAACTTCCTCCCACTTTACCCTGCCATGGCCACCTGCCCAGTCCAGCAAAACAAAATTCCAATCCCCCTTTGCAGAGATAAACCCTGAATAATTTATCACCTTTTTCCCATGGAAGGACAGTGTGTGGACTGTGCCTGTGTGACACTGGGTGAAAAACCAGTGCTGTTAGATTCTTTGCCAGTTCCCCCATTGTGAAGGTCAAATGCTAAACCTTGTTGTTTAGGCTCGCTTTTAACAGAGAAATGTGTTCTGAAGCTTAAATGAGAAACCCTCTCTTCTTTTTTTCTTCCACAATAAATATTCATTCACTAGGGCAATAAAGAAGAGTCACATGTCCATCAGCAGAAATTAGCTGGGAAGTC